TTTTTTTTTTTTTTTTTTTTTTCTTTGTAATTATAGTCCTTTTCCAGATGAGTCCTTAGAGAAAGATGCTATTTAAATATAATTATAATTCGAAAAGTTAGTGATTTAATCTAACGATTTCTCTGACTTGATTTTAGTTTTTTTTTTTTTTTGTGGAATTTTATTATTTTAGTTATTTGGTTTGAAATTTATACTGCTTTCATTCAAGCAGAGAAAATGAAAAGAGGATTGATTTATATCATTATTATTTTCTTTATGAAACAAAAGATGATTGAAATATTAACATGGGTCTCTTTCAGTGCATTAATCTCATATCTGCCAAACCACTAAATTATGAATATGACTCTCAAAGACACTTACAAATTAATATGAACTTTTCAGCCCACAGAAATCAGGACCACCTCTTCAAATACGTCACCGCTAAGAAATTGATTAAGATATGTTCCTTTTACTCTCAAGTTATGTTTTATACCCGTTCTTAGTTTTGACAATTATAAACGTTTGTTTCTACAAATCAAAAAATTATAAATGTTCCTTAAAAAATTTACAAATATTTGTTAAACACGTGTCGATATTAAATAATTCTCAACATAAAAAAAAGGTTCGATAGAAAAGGAAAATTACTCTAATATGTCGTTAGATTGCACCATGACCTTTTTCTCGTGAAAATTTAATGGAACCTCCACAAGAAGAAACGCAGAAATTCCACGTGTGTGATTTGGAATATCTTATTTCAATATGTAATGTTACAAATTTCGATTTTTTTTTTTTTTTTTTTTTTTGTGGTTCGAAGGAATTTCGATTATCAACTATAACATAGTTATCGATTAAAAAAAAAAAAAAAAAAAAAAAAAAAAAAAAAAAAAAAAAACTATAACATAGTTGTCATTTTAATGTATCTTTTTTTTTTCCTCATGAATTTAAAGATTTATCTTTTCATGAGTAGACATCAATACTTGAATTACGTAACAAAGCACTAAGTAGAATTTAATAAATAGATTCGATAGCTCTGATTACGTAACAAATCACTAAGTATAATTTAATAAATAAATTCGATGGCTCTTACTCCTATTTTAATTACTGCTCTTCCCAAAAGCATAAAATTGCATTATGTATACATCCTTCCAATTAGCAGTCACACTCGTGCAGCACACCTCACGATCAGCATAAAGAAAAAAAATAAATAAATAAATAAAAACTCGTGCCCGAACGTGGGGGAGGGTGAAAGTGGTACCACCCAATAATTGAAGATCCGTCCAAAAAAATCACAACGTCGAGTGATCTGAAGCGTCCATCTAACTGACCTCGGCCATCGTGGCAAGATCTAACAAAGCAGAGCAAAAGTTTCGTGTCCTCTATTCGATCGGCCGCCGCGTGGAGTCTGTAATAATTCCGTGGGGGCTTCGCCGGTGCACAAGCTGTGGCACACGTGTGACGGGCAGGTGTGACCGGGGCTGGCGGGCAGTGGGAGGTGGGCCACGGGACAAAGACCTAGGGAGTAGAGCCAGCATGGTCCTGACTCATTGCGGGCCCCAACACTTTGATGGGTTTTGTTGGTTTGTGAACCCGTTTTGGGCCCACTCCTAGTCAGCTCCAACGTTATGGTGTTTGTTTTTGGTTTTTTTGTTTTTTTATTCAAATTATTTTTCCTATCTTATTGGTTCGTGGGGCCCATTTTCTTCGCTCATGTCCCAGTTTGCGAAAGCAAAGGCTGACATATGAAATCATGAAAGGGAAGCAACTTTTAAAAGGACTCTAGAGGAATCGTGACGTTGGAAATTCATGTTTTTGGCACTTGGTGTTTGTGTAAAATTTCTAGAATGCCATTTTGCTTTTAGTGGTTGTTTTGAAACTTTTGGCATTAGAAGAACGGAACTCAAGGAATCACTGTTAGTTTCTCTCACGTGTTTCCTACTAATTTAGTGCAATTATGTTTTTGCCCACAATTTTTCTTTTTTTGTTAATTTGCGGCACTTATTTTGTTTATTATAAGTTGCCCTGCCACCTTTCTAGTAACAACATTGCAATACTATAATACTTTTGCATTTTGGTTAAGTTCTCGGATTAATGCCAATTAATAGGAGAAGAGGTTAAGATTGAAGCCTAAACTAATTAATTAGGGGTTTCTAGGATTGCCACCAACAAAGCTTACATTAAAGCTGGATACCTTGCTAGACTGTAGGCTCACATGCACGCCAAGTCGCCAACCTCAAATAAAAGTGTACATCGCATTAATAATGATAGTTCTCAATTAATTATTAATTTGCTTCTCTTATAAATTAGCTTAATAGTTTTGATGCACATTGAAATTTGAACCAACTTTTTTTAATTCTGACTAACACTTAACTTTCTCTTCCTCAATGGGAAACATACACATTAGTGAAATCTTAGTGCCTCATTCACTTCGCGAATTCGAATTTTTAATTTGAGTTGAGATGTGATATTTTTTTAAAATTTTTCACTGTAGCAGAAAAAATTAAATGTGAGATTTTTTGAGAACTTTTTACTGTAAAAACTTAAAATTAAAAACTCAAATCATTAAATGAATGAGACACTGGATTCTAGATTCCCATAACACTAATAAATTTTGCTAGGACTGGTTACGTGTCTCTCTTAAGAGTATAGGTGAAGAGAGCCTAATAGACACGAGTACAATAAATAAGAGGGATGAAAAATAAATGAGTGTGTAAGAAATACCCCACATTAAGGGGACCAAAATGATAAATAAATAATTTCATGAGTGCCCCCAAAAAAAAAAAAAAAAAAAAAAAAAAAAAATAAGGGGGACAAAAAAAAAAAAAAAAAAATTTAATGGGGCCCCCAAAAAAAAAAAAAAAAAAAAAAAAAAAACTAATCTTGGAGAAGCAGATGCATGATCTATAGCCAATAGATTGAATCCCATGGAATCTTGGAAAACCGCCATTACAAGCACTTTTTAATATTTTGAGTAAAAGTTTCATTCAACTACTCACAAAGAACACACCCTTATAACCTACAACCAATCAGGTCCACTTATTTTCTTATGAATTTACCGCTTTAACCTTAATAATAGACTTTATTTAGAGAAGACCACCCTATTACATTGCCCCACAAACCACTAGATTCCACCAAGTCTTCGGCTGGCTACCAGTCTTTATATATGACTATACACTCAAGCTTTCTTTCCCCCCTCTCTCTCTCTCTCTCTCTCTCTCTCTCTACACCACTAATCTTGAAGCAGAAAAGAAGCACCATTTCTGAAACCAATTTTTCTCGGTTCAATATTTAAGTTTCTTTCTATTCTTCTTAATATTGTTCAGCACCATGGCGACTGGAATGTTTCACTTTGCCGGGACTGAAGAGTACAACACCGAATCCCACTTTCTTGAAGCTTGTTATCTTTGCAGAAAACCACTTGGATACAATACAGACATTTTCATGTACAGGTAATAATTAGTTTGTTACATATTTTTGCTATTTAGGTCAAATCATCCATTCGCTACTTGGAAATTTACCAAGTTTTTTGTCCAGAAAAGTAGGGTTCTTGATATTGTCGTTCATGAAAATAAACTAAAATAAAATAATTTTAAAGGGTCAGATTTTCATTAAAGTCTGTTAGGCTGTAGTATTTTTTTTCCTATTCTGATATAATCTTAACATGTTCTGTCTTATTGATAAGCTTTCTTTGTTACCTATCATATCATATATAGAATAGCGGAAAATCATGTGGATAAATTTTAGACAAATTAATGGATGAGAATGAATCTGATGTGAGGTTGGGAATTATGTGAAATTTTGCAGGGGAAACACACCATTCTGCAGCAAAGAATGCAGACAAGAACAAATAGAATTTGATGAGGCGAAGGAAAAGAGCTGGAATATGTCAAGCAGATCTATAAGAAAATCAGACTCCAACAAGAATTCTACCCCAACCAAAACCTCACGGACTGGCACTGTTGTAGTAGCTTGACTATTGACCAGCTAGTATATATATTGACTATCTTTAATTATCTGTTTGGAGGAAAAGAAAATGAAGGAATTCCCCATGTTGATCATGAGTTTGTGTCTTTGTGATCTGTAAACATGTGGAGGGGTTGGTTTGAGATCAGGCAGAGATATAAGATTTTGGGTTTTTTATTTCCCCTTTCTTTTGGGGTTGGATCGGTGTTTATAAGAGCGATCTTTTGGGAGGAAAAGGATCTGGGGGGTTGTATAATTTTGTAATGATGTTTGATCATTTTTACTTTCTGGAAAATGAAATTTTGAGGCAATATTATTCAAGTTTCTAAAAGAGACTTGATTTCATCTTTTACCTTTTGATATCCCTAAATTTTACTGGGTTTAATTATTCATTGGGTGTGTCTGTATATTTCTGGGAATGTTGATATAATTTCCCTATACAACATTTTAAAACAATGATTGATATATTCGGAATAACGCAAATTCAACCCATTTTATAAACCTTTTTTTGTTTAAAGTAGTTTTAATATTTACTATTAGAATTTTTTTCTTTTTAAAAAGTGCTTGCACATGCTATGTGATGGATCGCATCTCACTTGTTGTTGTCATGCATCGTTTTATCTCTTTATACAATTTATTTTCGTTTTCTGCGTTTTGCTTTCTAAAATGTCGTCTTTAGCTTTTCATAAAATAAAAAACCAAAAAGTGAAAGTGTAATAACGACGTGGTTCCCTTTCAAAAAAAATAAAAAAAGAAAAGAAATAATAATAATAATAATAATAATAATAATAATAATAAATGACGACATGGTTGATTTGGATTTAGATAGTAAAGTACATAATTCTTTGCTTTGAAATTGAGATGGTAATATTTGAGCGAAGATAATCATAACGCTTTAGGTCTTGAGAGTTTCTTTGGATTATTTTGTGGCATATTCGATGAGGAGATTCATTTTCTTGAGGACTTCCTTTTCTAGTTAGATGTGAGGGTGAGGCCTCTTGTAACTAACTTGGTATTTTAGCTTTTTTAGGCGTTGTATCTTAATTTGCTTTTACTTTGCCTCTCCTAATTTGTTTAGCGCCTTAAGACTTATCTTTATTTTTTCTGCTCTGCTTTCGGCCTTGTGCCCTTCTAATAAAAGTTTCTTTGAATGAAAAAAAAAAAAAAAAAAAAAAGTCAA